GCAACTCCTCCCCGCCGCCGCGCTGTGTCTGGAGCCGCTGCTGTCGTCCAGAGAGCGCTCGCTGGGCTGGGTCGTCTGCCCGTCCACGTCGTCCTCCAGCGCTCTCTTGAACACGCCCGCCAGACTCTGCCTGAAGCGCCCCCTCACGTCCACGCCCATGCAGAAGTACAGCAGCGGGTTCACGCAGCTGTTGAAGTAGGCGACGCCGGACGCAATGGGGTGCCAGATCTTCACCACTGAGTTCTTACTGTCCACCATTTTCACCAGCAGGAGGCAGTGGTACGGCGCCCAGCACAGGAAGAACGCCACCACCAAGGACGCCAGTATACGCAGGGGGCGGGACTTCCCCGACAGGCGGGTGCGCCGGATGCCGAGCCCGGCCAGGATGTAGCAGACGAGGATGACCATAAAAGGCAACAGGAAGCCGCACAGGAAGCGGATGGAGTAGAGAGCCCGCTTGGCGCTGTTGTCCCCCTGCGCCGCCTCCTTCACGTCCAGCGAGCACTTACTCAGGTTGTTCTTCCCCAGGTACACCTGGCGGTAGACAAAGTACGGCGTGCTGAAGATGATGGCGGTGACCCACACGCCGACGGCCACCAGCCTGGCGGCCCGCAGTGTGCGGCGTCTCTTGGTGAGGACGGGCTTCCACACGCAGAGCACCCGGTCCACACTGATCACGGCCAACAGGAAGACGGAGCAGAACATGTTGGCGTACTTGAAGAAGCCGTTGAACTTGCAGAGGAAGACGCCGTACGGCCAGTGGTCGAAGAGGAGCTTCTTCACGAGGGAGAAGACGCGCGTGAAGCAGAAGATCAGGTCCGCGATCGCCAAGTTCACCAGCCACACGTTGGTGACCTTCGGCTGAGGAGGAAAAGAAAAAACATTTAGAGCTCCCCCTGCTGACTGGCAGCGGTATAGGTCATAAGCCCCGCCTCCTCCATGTTAACAGATGGGGTGAACATGGAGCTTATAAAGTGACCCCATGTTCTAAATTAGAGATGCCTTGGGGTGGGGGACAGGGAGGGGGGGCCTTAAAGAGACAGTAGCTGAAATGAAGCATTTCAGGCAGAGTGATTTCACTGATGCCAGTATCAGATAAACGACGCTCCTCATTGGTCGTCCCAAAGTGACATCATTAATGGTCAAAGCGAGTATAATGGATCACCTTGAGCTTGAATCCGGCCACCCAGATGACGATGGAGTTCCCTGTGATGCCGAGCACGACGGTCAGCGTGTAGAGGACGATGGAGACGTTGTTCATGATGGAGTCGATGTCCACCGTGGTCGCCGTCTGGTCGTTCTGGGACGTCTCCGAGACGAGAAGAGGCGTTTCAGGAGACATGGTGCGTCTGCAGAAAACAAGAAGAAGACAGGAAAATCTGATGTTACCAAGGAAGTCAAACAACGCTCTCAGGCCACTCCCACATCAAACCCGGCCATTACAGAAACCCTGACACAGACCTTTAGAACCTCCAGTCTGGATTAATGCAATGGAGTCCAGACAGGGGTAACCAGTAAAACCCTAGACCGGCTCCAACGTGTCCTCACCTGCACCAAGACCTGGACGCGCATCACCTCCACCTGCTCCCGATGAGATCCAAAATCAAACAGGAAATACTCCTCCTCACTTATAAACCCCTCCTCGTCCCTCAGTACCTCTCTGAGGGTACAGAACACCACAGGAGGTCATTCCTGCCTGTGGCCATCAAACTTTATAACTCCTCCCTTTGAGTGACAAACACTCCGCCTGACCCTGGACTATTTCAGCATGAAAAATAAAATAAAAATAAAATAAAATAAAATAAAATAAAAACTGTAACCTCCACCATAACTCATTATTTAACTGCAGTATAATAATAATGAATAACATGTCCATGAAAACAAAGTGCAAAATTGAAACAAACAGTGCAATAATCTTGAATATGTGTGAATATATTCCATCTGACTCTTATTCATGTAAATATTTCGTGTACCTATTATTGATATCTTACTTAAATTCCTATTCTAATTGATTAATATTTTTATTTCTATATTTCTCCTCCTATATTTTATATTTTGGAGAAACTAACGACCGAATTTCCCTCTGGGATTAATAAAGTATTTCTGATTCTGATTCTGACCTCCCTCACCCACACACCACGTCCTGAATCCTCCAGTCCTCGCCCCACACCGGACTACCCGCACCTATGGAGACATCACAGCCCCCCACCCTCTGGAGCCCCCTCCTCTCAGACATCCCCTCCTCCCAACTCAAATTATAAAAAGAAAAAAACACAAAATGTGTCCCGGGATCTTCATGGAATCAACTGAAAGAGGGAAACTCTCCGAATGTCACCAATCTTACACCATCAATTTATTATTCATGAATTTAAAATCAGCTGAGAGGATGTCCTGTAGCTCTTTCTCTGACAAATAGCTCAGACGTTGAACACAGATCAGTGGTTAAAAATCTTCTTGGTGGATTATTAAAGTCGAGAGAAACCGCCTTCTTATTTTATGTTCCTGTTCAGCGATGAAGAGACTAAAAGTGGAGGCATGTTCTCATTTTATCATTTAACAAATGCAGCAGGAGTTCTTAACGGGTCACTTCCTGTTTTGATTTCTAATAAACATCGGAAAGATTTAAACATGCAGGAAAAACACTCGACGGCGTGACGCTTTACCGGGAGAGGAAAAAGAAGCATCACGGTTTGAATATTAAAAAAGAAAGACTTGATGTCTCTTAGAGCGGCAGACTGTTCTGACCTGTGTTCACATGATGCTCCAAAAAAACATGTCGTCTGTGCCGACTGGTCAGAGGTGACCTCCTGAGTCACTGTCTGCCTCAGCGTCTGAGAATGTGTACTGAGGTCTCGTCCACACACGCTCAGATACGTTTTCTAAAATCCTGAGGCCTCAGTGTGTCCATGTACAGGTATGTGTGTGTAATGAGCAGCACTCTCCTCCCTCTACCTGCTGCACACCTGAGTGCAATTTGCACTCAGGCAGACGGCGAGGTATTCAGAGGAGTCATGGCATGAGAGCTCTTTGGGCCACACACACTCTTAGTCCTCCACATGTCTAGATTGATGCTACTATACTTTTATGTGTCATGAGATCTCCCATGACAAACCTTTAGTAGCAGTATGTAACTCTGACCCCTGGTGTTTAAAATGGGTACTGCAGTCTAAATTCTAAACATCATAGAGAGCTGTCCCCCCCCCCCTCCTCTCTAGAGTGGATGCTCACTCAGGTCACCATGTGGTGGACTCTGAAGCTTCAGTGTTTATCCAGCTCTGCATGGGTCTGTAAACCTTTCTGTGTTCTAACCTCTCTCCATTTTTCAAAAGCATCTCCAATATTGATCCTAGTTTGAGCACGTTTCTGCTCGTGGAGCTTATTAGAAACATGCAGAGGCTTTTTAGGTCGGGTACAATCACTTCTATCTGAACCACTTCTCTTGACCGCTTCCATCGCTGCAACACCTGTTGACCTGATAACTGCTCTCATATCTGACAAACTGAGGGGCGTCCAAAACGGCCCTGTGGGGGGGTTCTTAAAAGCGCCTACCTTCTCTGGTCCAAACAAATCCAGAGCATTCAGGAGCAGAATCTAAAGGTAGAAGGAGGACATACTGGCTGCTGCATTGTTGTCAGAGAAGCCAGCACTTCAACATAGCATGTTTCCTTAATGATCAGAGAGTAAGATACCTTTATCATCTCACTCTCTACACAGCTCACTGATTGGACCTTTAATGATCAGAGAGTAAGATACCTTTATCATCTCACTAACTACACAGCTCACTGATTGGACCTTTAATGATCAGAGAGTAAGATACCTTTATCATCTCACTCTCTACACAGCTCACTGATTGGTCCTTTAATGATCAGAGAGTAAGATACCTTTATCATCTCACTCTCTACACAGCTCACTGATTGGTCCTTTAATGATCAGAGAGTAAGATACCTTTATCATCTCACTCTCTACACAGCTCACTGATTGGTCCTTTAATGATCAGAGAGTAAGATACCTTTATCATCTCACTAACTACACAGCTCACTGATTGGACCTTTAATGATCAGAGAGTAAGATACCTTTATCATCTCACTCTCTACACAGCTCACTGATTGGTCCTTTAATGATCAGAGAGTAAGATACCTTTATCATCTCACTAACTACACAGCTCACTGATTGGACCTTTAATGATCAGAGAGTAAGATACCTTTATCATCTCACTCTCTACACAGCTCACTGATTGAACCTTTAATGATCAGAGAGTAAGATACCTTTATCATTTCACTCTCTACACAGCTCACTGATTGGACCTTTACTGGACTGAGGTACTGCAGTAGTCTCCATAAAGCAGACGTTGAATCATCGCTGTGTTGGGCACATTAAGAGGAAGTTCAAAACACAAAAGACATTCATAAAAATAAAAGTCCTGAAAAACCACAAACCTCCAACCACTGTGAGCCAGATCTCTTCTACACCTTTATGACATGTTTAAATACTCTGAGGGGGGAACTCACCTGAATATGACAATCAGAAATATAACAATCTGGAAACAGTGATGTAATATAACCACATGGACAGAGAGAGTCCGACCCGCTCACCTCGTCTTCGTGGTGACACAAAAAACCAAACCAGCTCGATTAAGACTTCCTGCGCTGACCTGTTTTAAACATCTCAGATTCTGATCTTCAGTTCAGAACAGAGAACACGTTCAGCCACACTTTAGGCGGCTGTGGCTCAGTGGAGGAGCCGGCCGTCTCTTAACGGGAAGGTCGGGGTTCACTGTCGATGTGTCCTTGGGGAAGACACTGAACCCCAAGTTGCTCGAGCTGCTGCACCCCCTCATGTAGGTATGAACGCGTAGTTATAGATGAGTTTAACGCTCAGTATCTAATTCCACCACCAGGGGGCTCTCCATCAAAACAACAACAAACCATGACGAGGCTGGCGTTGAGTCATGGTAGCGATCCTCTCTGCTCCCTGAAAGTTGGAGGCACTCCTTTAGTTTAATTTAATCGTTTATTTGAATCAGGGACAGTGTACAAAAAGAACATTAGTCTCAGAAGAGAAGAGATGCTTTGTACCACATTAAGAGCTAACTTCCATCTGTTCTGAACTCTGTTTATAACCAGGACCGTCTTTTTTGTTTGCGCTATTTGACCTCTGACCCCTGTTCACGACGAGCGCCTGAGTCCTCCACATTGTGCGGAACTCACTTCATGTTTATTTGATTATTTCAATGATGTGAAATCAAGTCTGACATGAATGTTGAAAACTTGTGAGGATGATTCTGTGTTCTTTGGACGGCCATTTTTTTTCTCTCGTCTTTGTGGATTCTATTAGAGGAGCTGGTCTGGTTATATCCTGTCAGTGTGTGTGTGTGTGTGTGTGTGTGTGTGTGTGTGTGTGTGTGTGTGTGTGTGTGTGTGTGTGTGCTGGACCCCAGGAAGAAGACCCGCTGCGTACCCTGGTGCTCATGAGGATCCTAATGAAGAAACAATGTCCAAGAAGAGCGACCTGCGGGCTAACCACCGTGAGGGTCAAAGGTCAAAGTGACTCTGAGGTGGAGGATTTGGTTCGAGCTCCTCTCAGGACCTGCCTGTTATACGGGACCAGACTCTCTGAGGTTTCACCGACTGACCAAAAGCTCAAAGCAACAAGAGGGTCGTCGTCTGAACAGATTTCAGTCTCCTTCAAAATAAAAGGAAGAAGCATCACGAGGTTTAAAACTCAAAATGATCAAGAACAACAACCAGATATTTGTAGCTCCACTCTCCTTCTCTCCCCCTCCCACCTTCTCCCCCCCCCCCCCCCTCTTTATAAATGTTCATTAGCACCATTGAATGATTTAAATGTTGTTTCTTACCTGCAGATGATTCTCTGATATCACAGCTCTGAGGTCGTCTGCTTCAGCCTCTGTGGTCAGATGAAGAAGTGAAGACGCATAAAGTCTGTGTTTCTGTGAGTGTGTGTGTGTGTGTGTGTGTGTGTGTGTGTGTGTGTGAGTGTGTGTGTGTGTGTGTGTGTGTGTGTGTGTGTGTGTGTGTGTGTGTGTGCATGCACAGTAAAGTCCCCTGATGTCAGTGTTATTTTAAGTGGTTTCAGAAAACTGGATGTGTGTCTTTATATTCCCTCTCTCTCTCTCTCTCTCTCTATCTCCCCCCCTCCCACACACACACACACACACACACACACACACACACACACACACACACAGAGAGACCCTTTTTCTCTCTCTGTTATGTTGTGTGTGTCTTCCTGTCTGGCTTCTTCTTTTTTTCTCACACACACACACACTCACACTCACACACACACACACACACACACACACTCACACACACACACACACACACACACACACACACACACACACTCACACTCACACACACACACACTCTCACACACACACACACACACACTCTCACACACACACACACACACACACACACTCACACTCACACACACACACACTCTCACACACACACACACACACACACACACACACACACTCACACTCACACACACACACACTCTCACACACACACACACACACACTCTCACACACACACACACACACACACACACACTCACACACACACACACACACACACACACACACACACACACAGAGTGAATGACATCTCGTGTAATAGACTATGTCAGCTTGGCCAATCAGATTTCTCGACAGAGGGTTGATGAACTTGAAATTAAAACAGGAAACTGTCTTTACGATCCATCGCGTTGGGTCGTGACTGTTTTGAATCCCAGCTGAATTTCACAGAAACAATAAAACCGACCTTTTATGGTCTCCGATGACGATCGACATCACAAAGGGCAGTAGCCCCTCCCCCAGGTGGGTGACACTCCCACAGCTAGGTGTTTGTTCTGACCCTCTGAGTCTGCCTTCTCACCGTAAACAATAGGACATGGAGAGAGAAAGCCAGAGACACCCAAGTCCTTCCAGAGAGGGGGCGTGGTCAGACACAGCTCATTTACATATTTAAAGGTACAGACACAGAAACAGCCTGTTCTGAGCAGGGCTGAAATAGAGGGGTTTATAGACATGATCAAATACAGGATCAGAGTGGATTTAGAACAAGAAACTTCACACACATGTTTTGAGGAGCTCTGAGACTTATTTACACTGAAGAAGAAGAAGAGGAGGAGATGTGATCTTTAAGACGTCCCTTTGTATAATAACACTTGGATCCAACAGTTCAAAGAGGAAGAACATTTTGGGTACAAAGCCACAGGAAGCTAAAGATGTGTCTTCACCCGAAGCTTCTTCTTCTTTGTTTCCTCTGCCACTGAAAATTGTCACGATGTGCGATCACTTCCTTCTTTTCGCTGTGTCCTTGGTCAGTCGGCGTCCTGACCTCCTGATGGTGCAAAAAGGTCAGGACAGAAATATCACAGCGAGGGAAGAACAACATCATTTCATCATCGCCGTTTATTCCTTCAGATCTGTGGAAACATTGAGAGAGAACAATCACTGCAGCGCTGAGCGTGTGATACATCGTTACAGAAGAATCCATCTTTATTAATCATAGCTCAATGTTTCTGAGAGTTTTCAAACCCACAACATGAGTCCAACCCCGTGATCAGCAGCTATCCAGGACACATATTTAGAATTCCTACATCCTAGTTTTACATTGAAAATGGGTTTGAATCTTTTTTCATGTCTTCATTGTTTTAGGAGCCTGAAGCTGTTCTCACACTCCTAAAACATATCTAGATCATTTTGGGGGCGCTGGTGGTGCAGTGGTTGGTGCGCCCCATGCATGGAAGCATTGCTCCTCCAAGCAGGCGGCCCAGGTTCAAGTCCCACCTGTGGCTCCTTTCCCGCATGTCATTCCCCTCTCTCTCTCTCTCTCTCTCTCTCCCTGATTTATGGCTCTGTCCTATCTCTACAAAAATAAATCTGAAAATAAAAAAGTCTAGATTATTTCAGGAGGACTGCTCCTGATATTCTCCTGATCTGTTCACACATGCACCTCACAGCAGGACACTATCCCTGTCAGGGGCGGGGCGGGGGGGTCTCCTGAGGTAAGAAGAGATGTAAGGCCCCTGGCCCTGCTCTGATCCTTCGCTCAGAGTGAAGAAGAGAGAGGTGCTGGTTTAGTGTGTTTGTGTCGTCCTAAGGGTTCAGCGCTGTGTGACTGCAGCTGCTGTGATTTCCTGCAGAGGATTCATAATAATAATAATAATTATCTAAACGTGAACAGAAAAGTAGAAGTTTCCTCTCTGACTAAACAAAAAGAGCAGATTCATGTGATGCCTTCATATCTACACGTCTGTCCTTATGGTGCCCTCTGGTGGCTCTAACATGCATGTGTGTGTTTTTAAGTGTGTTGCTGTTTTTAACTCTGACGCCCCGGGTTATGCTGCCATCTAGTGGCAACACGTCGCTGTGACACATGATGCACTTTAATGCACTTTGTTCACTATTTAAACATGTTTCTCCTTCACGTGGCAGCTGAGGGGCCAAATGAGGGGCCAAATGAGGGACCACATTGTGGACCCAGAACACCTATGCTGTTTTTTCTTTGCTGCTGCCAGTCCCTGTAGCTGCTGCACCCCCTTTCATCTCAGATGCCCCCTCAGTCCTTTAGTTCTAGAAGCGGGTCAGCTCTGTATTTTAAACTGTGTTATTAATCTGCAGGTCCTGAAAGTTTCTCTGACTCTCATTGTGTCACATCTGTCTGTGCACTTTCTTCTCGTTCCTCGTCGTTGCAGCAAACATTTCAATTACCTAACGCCACATTTCCTATACATCCCCATCACTTCCTCCTGTGGAGTTTAATTCCTCTTTCTCTGCCCGAGCTCCACAAACGCAGAGAAGCCCGCTCGTGATGAGACAGGTAAGGAGACCGTTTGTTACGTTTCTGTTCACCTGTGGAGTCAAATGTTCTGAGGAGCTGGTTAATGACTTTTTTATTTGATATTTTACTTGAATCATTCCTTAAGGTACGGTGGCCCTGAAGGTCAACTGTCTAAATATTTCACCTGCTGTAAATATATTTCACCTGTCCAGCAGCTTCTACCATCAGTGTGTGAATGTGTGTGTGTGTGTGACCTGCGGTGTAAAAGAGCTTTGAGTCGTCAGAAATAAACAAACTCAAGCCCGTTTATCATTTATCATTCATCAGATGTTTTTCCCACATTTTTAAAAATGGTTCCTCAGAAACTTGTTGTAGTTTGACTTTCAGATTTATCTGATTGTTCATCATTTGTTCTCATCTCATCCTTTTTTTTTTTTTAAATCTCTGTGTGTTTAGAGTCCAAAAGGTTCCTCCAGGCTTTAAAGACTTGGTTGAGATGGGCGTCGGTCTGGCAGGTGTTGCTTTACTCGCTGCTCTGATGCGAGGTGGGTACTTCCCTGATTTCACGCTGAGTATTTCTTAAAGTGGAAGTTTCTTTATATTTCTCATTTGAAAGTCAAATCAAAGCTTCCTTTTTCGCCCGGCAGACTTTTAAAGTTTCCCAACGTGCTTCCTCTTTTTTCTGTTTTTGAAACATTCCTCCAGGTGTCTCGTGTGAAATCTGGGCCATAACGCTGCCTCAAAGCATCATGGGAATACTGGAGTCCTGTATCACGGTCCCATGTGGTTTCCAGATTCCTGAGAATCGTGAAAAAGACCTGCTCATGAACTGCTCGACTGGAGTTGTTTGGAAGAAGGACAGTAAATATGGTCCTGTTGTCTTCAGTGAAGGCAATCGGGGAAGCAACAAGATTCAGGTAGGTCTTCTTTTTGTCCTTTCTGGAACGCCAGCCTACAAGTCTCACACACGGTGACACTCGATGGAAAAGCAGAAACGGGGTCACCCTGTGAGTCCAAAGTCAGGGATGTTCTCAATTCAGTCAAACTGGTTTGCAGAGTGAAGCTAACGTTAGCATTGCTAGCACCTCCAGCCTTCAGTCCTCCCTGCAGAATGTGGTCACCGATCGCTCCGGTCAGTTTCCTACTTTAACCTGACGCAGCCTACACACAACTTTATCTCCAGATGGATCTACACACTTTTTATTTATTTTTTATTTTTTTTACTTTTATTCACCAAAACATGCACACACACACTCACACAATAAAAAAAAGAGATACAAACAAGAGGGGAACTGTGGTACGATACAGTTTTGCAAGCAGATTTAGACAAAAACAAACAAACAAACGAAACAAAAGGAAAAGGTTCAGTAAATAAAATGAATGAATTAAAAAGAGGGACAAAATAAGTAAACAAGCAAATAGGAAAAAGAAAAACATGGAGACAGTTTAGTAACAAAATGATGTAAAATAAAACTGGTGGGAGAGGTTGTACACATGGTGACCATTTCTGGTGTTATTTGTTTGTTTTTGTTTTGTTTTTCACTTTGTATGGGTGCTAACATGATGATTGCCAAATACAGTAAATGGATTGCCATCCATTGCCAAAATGGATCTACACCCTGACAAACCGCTCTGCTGGCTGTTCACTGTGCTTGTTTACATCCTGGTGGTAGAGCGAGGAGAGCAGGCCTGACTTATTCTAAACAAACTTTGATTTTGTCCTGAACAGGACACTGTAGGGGGGCATTGGACCTAGTTAGGACTTGTGTTTTTGTTCATGCAACAAATCCAACGTCCAATGCATATCATTCATTTTTCATTTCCGTCATGTCTTCAAAGATATGAGGATTCCAATAACAAGAAAATAATATCATACGATATATTCTTAAATCAACATCATCATCATCAAAACCGTTCACCTTCATTCACACGCCTGTTTGCAATTATCTAGATCAGGGGTGCCCAACCTTTTTTGAACCAAGATCTACTTTTAAAGTTGCCAGTCTGCAGAGATCTACCAGTCCACATAGTGAGCCATAGCCTTTACCAACAGCCTACAAACACATTTAATACTCACACAACAAACAGAACATAATAAATCAGAGTTCTGTGTGTCTCGTGCCCCGCGATGCTCACAGTCATGACAGCAGAGAGGAGCAGAGAAAAGTAGCTGCAGCTACATCAAATGCGCTTAATACTCGTAGCATAGTTCTTTTTGGTAAAACACATAAACCTCCTGACAAACCGTTACACCGCGCCCACCTGTCAATCAGGTCAGCTACACGCCTTATTGTGAATAACTCTTATCCTTCATCAAATCAAAACTGATGAGTCATCAAAACATTCACCCCCCGTACAGTGTGTGTCCATCCAGACATGAGCTAATCACACCTATTTGGTTTTTTGAACCAGGCTGTAAACATGTTCATCTCTGCTGTAAAAACAGGCTTTTTAGAATGGGTGTGTATGTGACTTCCTGTGCTTCTGCAGCCAGCCTCTAGTGGACACTCCAGGAACTGCAGGATTTTACACTTCAGCCTCTAGTGGACACTCCAGGAACTGCAGGATTTTACACTTCAGCCTCTAGTGGACACTCCAGGAACTGCAGGATTTTACACTTCAGCCTCTAGTGGACACTCCAGGAACTGCAGGATGTTACACTTCAGCATCGGCTTCATTTTTAAACACCTGAGGTTGCTGCTTGACAACTAAATAGCCTGCAGCTTTATTTGTCTGTTTTTATAAAACCAATAGTTAGCTAGCCGCTATGTTGCGCGCCTCATGTACACACGATATTGTCCTCGTCTAGCAGCCGTGAGTTTGAATCTGACCTCTACCCTTCGCTGCATGTCATCCCCCCACCCAGCACTTCCTGTCTCTCTTCAGCTGTCCCATCTAATAAAGGCCTGCGATTAAAACTGAGATTAATCAGGATTCACTGTGAACTAACTCTGCAGCTTTTTTTAGGGTATCGTTTTCGGAGACCTCAAAAAGAAGAACTGCACCACCATGTTCCACAGCCTGCCACAGAACTACAGCGGCTCCTACTTCTTCAGGCTGGAGTGTTTAGGGGACTTCAAGTATACCTTCACTAAAGGAGTCGTCATCAGCGCTCAGCCAGGTATGAACGGAGGAGTCCATCAGCTCACACACAGCGAGGGTTAGAGAGCCGTGATTGAGTGTTTGTATCTGACCTTCCTTTGTGATGTGTCTCTACCGGACAGGCATGCCTCCCCCCCAGCTGACCCCCGTGAAGCAGGTGTCAGAGGGCGATCTGGTGACGCTGCAGTGTTCAGTCCCTGTGCCCTGCTCCATCCTGCCCCCCTCCCTCACCTGGCTCCCCCAAGACATCGCCTGGCAGGCTCAGACGCAGATAGAGCAGGTGAGGTATCACATCAATTGATTCACATGTCCTCCTTCTAACTTTAGATTCTGGTCCTGAACAGCTCTCTACAATGTTTAGAATTTAGACTGCAGTACCCATTTTAACCACCAGGGGTCAGAGTTACAGACTGCTTCTTTAACTGTCCTGAAAATATGATGAATGAAAAAAGTTTACCTGCAACAAAGTGTGAACAGAACTTCATTACAGTAGGTTCAAACCAGGTCATCTGATTGGACGGGTCATGAAATAAGTTTTTTTTCCTCCAGAAGGCGGATGGACTGATGGTCATGACGTCCACGCTG